CATTGGGTTTCAGCTAATTCCAGACACAATCAAGGTGACAAACAAGAATAGCCATCACAACATCTATTTAAAAATACTTCTGCTAGCTAGCTCTCTTTCAAGGATTTCAGTCTGGAAAACAAAAATCAAAGCAATAAAACCTATACAAAAATTTATGGCAGTCAAAACTACACAGAGAAACACTGTCTTGGAAAACAAACAAAACTTCATTACAATAATATAGCAGTTATATATTATGTCAAAAACACTATGATGCGATGCTACATTACTAAACTAAATCTACACATTCTAAATATGCTAAACTTATCTAATGAAGTCATACTGACTTTCTGCTGACATTTGATATATGGGTGGAAGGCATTTTATAAGACTTAGCTGTGTGTATATATGGATGTGCTCTTCCCATATTGCAAGAGGTCAATGTTTAGTTTCTACCTCTCTTCCTCTGCATTGCTCTCTCTTTCCTTCCTTTGATGAAGGGTCTTTCACTAAACCTGGAGCGTGGTTTCAGCTAGACTTGCTAGCCTGAAAGCCGCAGTGATCTGTCTGTGGTCCCACTCCTAGCCTTACACAAGGGCTGAGATTACATAAGAAATCCATAAACACCATCACTCATATTCCACAGCTATTACTTCATTAAGTTCAAATTTGTGGTCTGACACCTGGTGGCTTATTTTAGCTATATTTAAAGACAGCACAACTTGGGGGTGGGAGAGTTTCCTGAGGACAATTAACTCAGTCCTGTGTGCACAGCAAAGCTTAAGACACACACTGAAACTATTTACAAAATACATGTGATTCTTCCATAGAGATGGATACTCATGACTCAGCAACAATGCTCAAGATAAGAGTCTAGGGAGAATGGCTGAGCTATACATAATGCCTGTGGGAGTCAGGATTGGGCTAGCTCTAAGATAACATAGAAGCTTAGACTGTTGTAAAGTAGAGGTGACATCTCACATAAGGATGGGTTTTATGGACAGAAAAGCAAAGTTCAAGATTTAGTGGGGTTGTGGGATGTGAGTCTTAGATAAACAAACAAAATTGTCAGGAGCGATCTTTGTGGGGCTGCAATCTGAGCCAGCCAAGCTTCCCCAAGTCCATACCTGAGTGGGGGAGTGTAGATGAGGGAAAGGCTAGCTATAGACAAAGAGAGAGAGAGAGAGATTAAAGGTCAGGAGGGCAGACCAGTCAATACTGAAATGCTACGAGTTTATTTTTCACCACTCTTATATACCATAACTAAAAGTGGAACACAGTATCATGTATATAGAACAGACTTTTCTTCCTCACTCATTCCAAGGGTTCAATAACCACACTTTAGCTCTAAACTTCTTGTTCCCTAGCCTTGAGATCAGGAGTAGCCATACCTCAGATTCAACTTCTCCTTCCTTAGCCTTGACAGTTAGGAGTAGACATACCTCAGATTCAGGTCTGTTGTTATTTAGACTAAGATGGCTGAAACATCCTTCTGTAGCCACACCTTTGACCTTTAGGTCTTATGACTTGCTGACAGCTTTGAACTCTCTGTCCTTGTGCCAGATGGAGGGCAGCCATCTTTATGGGACCCACACATAATATTCTGGGTGATTCAGATAAAGCCTGACCCTACAGATAACCAGGTTATAAACTTCCTCTTTCCCCAGCGTTCATGGTGGGAGACAGGTAAACATCTTCCTTTGAAGAGATGAGTATGACAACATTTCCTGCTTTCCCTGTGCTTATCTGCCTGCACAAGAACCTCTTACCCTTTATAATGTGAACATCTATCTGTTCACCCCAGATAAAGCACCACCAACAAAGAGGCCATTTCACCCAAGACTAATTTAGTGAGCCAGGGGGCTTATTGGGGTCACCTGTGAGTATGGGTAAGTGCTGATGGAGTGAATCAAAGGCATCACTGGAAAGCCTACTCAGGTACAAGAGGACTCTTGAAAACGGCACCCTAGAAGCTCCCTCAATCTGCCAACAGTTTAGCCTGTGTTGTGCCCAGGCTAGTCAGGGGCTGCTCAGAAATAGTTTTCCATTTTTGGGCAGGCCTGTCACTATACTGCTGTGGAGGTAGGCTTAGGCCTGGCTTGGCCTAGTACTACATGGACCAGGCCTCCTCCTTGATGTTGGGGCTGTTGGAGATTGGTTGTCCTTTATTCATAGCTTTTCCTTAGACACTGCTTGTTCAGTCTGACCTCTGAGAGAAGACTGAGCAGCCTATGAAGGCATCTGCTCTGTCCTTTCACCTGCCCATCCCCCTATGGACCGTACCACCTTTCCTTGTAAAACCATGGGGAGGAAGTCTTGTACCTTTTGTTTGTGCAGTTTTCTGAGCCTTGTAAATTTTATCTCCTAGGTCTTCTAGGCCGCCATGCTTTGCGTGAGAAATTGTTTTCACTTGGAAGAAACAGTTTACAATACAGGGACTTCAAGAGAAATGTCCCATAGAGGATAGCAACACGATCAACCTTTTGGATTAAACTTTTGCTTGAAATTTGGTTTCTGTGATGCCCCTACCAATGTCTAACTTGCTTAACATTAAGCCAGAGTCCACTGCCATGTTAAACACAGAGCACAGAGCTATACATGAGGGCCTGGGCAAGCATTTAAAACATAAAATTTAGCCAGTTATTTGAACATCAGCTTACATTCCAAAATATCCCTATGGTTCTACCATGTAGGGCCAGCTTTCCTGTTACCATTGCCAATCTTCTGTTGTACCTTGTAACAAGACCTCAGCATTTGGGTGATCTGTAAAATCCAATTTCATTGCTACTTGTCATATACTATCTGTTGCTAAATATTTCGTCTGAGACTTGTCTACAAGGTCTTACATGAATGCTTTCTGGAACTACACTCTTCTTGCACTGAAGCCATTTTGTATTTGCTAAAATAAACACATCCAGTTTCAAAGCTGCAGCCTCTTAACTACAGCTGGAGCTGTCATATTTAATGTGTACATGGCCACCTGAGCCATTGCACTCTGCCACTGACTACTTCACAATCTTTCCAAGATCTCCAACAAAAAATGCATTTTCCCCCACTCCAAGTCATTTCCTAAACATGGTTATCAATTTATTTTCAAAGTGTGTTTTCTTCAATATTGTCAATACAACCTTTCACTTTGGCCATATTCCACAAAGCCAAAAGTCATAAACCTGTGCCAGTGTCATTAGAATATAAAACAAAACAGGTTGGGAGATAGACATAGTAACCAAAGCTTTTAGGGTAAAGGCCTCGGCTCTAGGAACCCTGGCTAGGCTCAATCACTTATCCAAATTCAAGAAAATCAAAGTAGAGAATTAGTCAAGGAAGGTGACTGCATTGGGAAGAGGAATAGGAATCCAGTTCTTACTGGACCCCTCAAGTCTATCTTCAGGGTACTAACTGGCATGAGCTTTAGCCTAAAGCAGAGGAGGAACTGGGGCAGGCACAAGGCAAGCGTAATTTAGCAGTCCTGATAGAGTGTGGTTTCTTAGATCATTGCTACAGTTCTGATCTTGCAAGGTGGGGAGTCCATATAGCTGTCATCTTGTGAGGACATCCTTCTCATACAAGAAAGATCATTGCAGCTCTAGGGTGTGGCCTTGCCTTCATGGATAATTGCATGCATCTGTTATGATGCAAGAGAAAGGTAGGACAATGACTTATCTTTGTGCCTTCAGCCAAAGGAGACAAGACACCAAATAAGGCAGAGAGGGCAGGCTTTCAGTCAGCTCTGTTATCCCTTGACCTCGAGAGGTCTTTTTATTTTTTCAAAAGCACGAGCATCTGCTTCTTTAGGGACTAGGTTCCTGAAGTAGCTCTCTCCCAGCTGAAATCAAACCACCCTCTACACACCACTTCTAATGCTGTTGGTAGTCAGATACTTGTTTAGGAAGGCCCCTGGGAATTAATTATACAGGAGTCTGGATCTAGTCTATCTTTGTTGAATTTTTAGAAGCATGTGGTTACTAGGAGCAGAAATGCCCAAGGTGCCACAATCTGCAGGGACTATGTGGGAGGAAAAGCGCAGCAACAAGACAATCAGAACAGCATGGCAGGAGCCAAGGAAACAATGCTAAGAGCTGGCAGCGGAGAGAGAAAACTGATGCACAGCCAGCCAGGAGAAAGGGAAGCAAGGTGACAGTGAGAAAAAAAGGAAACTAGAGTCTTTGCTGAACCCTAGATTCATCTATCTCAATCTCAAACATGACTTTACATATCGACTTGAATATCAAGTTACCAAGTTTAATGAAAAGGCCGCAAGTCATTCAACGTCTCAACTTAACAATGTTTCTTCATATTCATCTACCAGAGACTTGTCCAAGCCAAAAACCTGGGGGCTTCAACAGAAGACTGTTTCTCCAGAAGACTTAATTTCACGACCACCGCCAAAGAACTCTAGTCCAATATTTCTGCCTTCGCGGAGCTGAAATGGCGGGCGGTACTTGGTGACCTGGTCAGCTGCCTCAGAGCCACCTGGCTCCCCCGAGACGCCTCACCCAGGATGCCCTGAAAGCAGCAGCTCCGGGCCCAGGACCAGACGTCCGAGTCACCCACGTCCGGCACACCTGTCCCCGCGGCTGCGCTCGCGCTCACCGCCGGGCCTCTCGGAGGCGGGACGCACCCAGGGAAGGGAGGGGAGGGGAGGGGTGGGGAGAGGAGGGAAGGTTAGCAGAGACGGCGGAACTGGCCCAGTGCGGTAGGTAGGCAGGCAGGCGGACGGGCGGGCGGGCGGGCGACACAGCCCAGGAGGATGCGGCCCTTAGAAGGGCCGCACGCAAATGAGGGCTCTGGCCACGCGCGTCGTGATTCGCGCGTTCGCGGCGGCGGTCAGGCGAGGGAGCCGGGCTTATGTAAATGAGCGGATCCTGTGCGCGCGCCCCTATTGGCCAGGGTGTGAGGCCGCGTGTGAGCCAATGAGAGCGTCGGGCGGACAATCGGAGCTCTGCCTATAAAAGGGTGAGGCGGCGGCGCTGGCGCGCAGTTTTCTGTTTGTGAGCGTGTGTGTTTTGCATTTATTTTTCGTCATGTCTGGCCGCGGTAAGCAAGGAGGCAAGGCCCGCGCCAAGGCCAAGTCGCGGTCGTCGCGCGCCGGCCTGCAGTTCCCGGTGGGGCGTGTGCACCGGCTGCTGCGCAAGGGCAACTACGCGGAGCGCGTGGGCGCCGGCGCGCCGGTGTACATGGCGGCCGTGCTGGAGTACCTGACGGCCGAGATCCTGGAGCTGGCGGGCAACGCGGCCCGCGACAACAAGAAGACGCGCATCATCCCGCGCCACCTGCAGCTGGCCATCCGCAACGACGAGGAGCTCAACAAGCTGTTGGGCAAAGTGACCATCGCGCAGGGCGGTGTCCTGCCCAACATCCAGGCCGTGCTGCTGCCCAAGAAGACCGAGAGCCACCACAAGGCGAAGGGCAAATAAGTGAGGTCGCTGCTCGCAGCGGCCCGCGTCTCGGGAGGACGCCCGCGAACTCAAAAGGCTCTTTTCAGAGCCACCCACCGGTTCAGATTAAAGGGTTGTGGCACGGTAGTCGGCCTAGTGGCTTCCGGGTCCCAAAGTGTAGGGTGTGGCGTCGCCACTCGCTCTCCGTCCAGTCCCCATGCCCTTCCCGCTGCGCGTGGGCTCCCAAGCATCCTGTGGGGTCTGTCTCCCCGTGTCCTGCGCCGAGTCTGGCGTCTCGCAGCAGTTGTACTGAGCACTCTGCGCCCGCCATATGTCGTCTCCCCGACACACACGAACCCCACACAGCTTGTCGGGCTCGTAAGGCGCCCCCCCGGCTCCCAACCTAGCGCCCCGAAAGCCTCTGCCCCCACTTTCCCCCGAGACCGGGACTCGACCAGGAGTCCAGTCGGAGCCAGCCAGGCCGGACCTCTTATTAAGTCACAGCCGGCCGCCCCTGCCGCTCGCCCCTCCGGCAAAGTCTAGGAGGAGGTTCGTGTCCCGCTCTGTGACTTTGGACGCCGGGCGGGCGGTGCGGCGGTTGCGCGCGCGTCTTTCCGGCAGAGCTGGCACCGGCCGTCCACCGGTAGCTACCACAGACGGCCCCGCCCGCGGAGCGCCTGGGCGAGCCAGCCAGCCAGCCAGCGGCGGGGCTGGGCAAGGGGCGGGCGGGCGGGCGGGCGGGGCGAGGGGGCGGGTCGGGTCCGAGCCAATGGGCGGGCCCGGGGCCGGTGACGCCACGGCCAATGGCCGGGCAGCGCGGGACTTTCAAGTCGCTGTCCCCGCCCCGCCTGGGGGAGAGACTGCTCCTATAAAAGGGCCGGCCCGGGTGAGGGCAGGTCCCAGTTGCTCCTGGTCTCTTCGCCTTCAGAGTTCGCCATGGCCCGCACGAAGCAGACCGCCCGCAAGTCCACCGGCGGCAAGGCCCCGCGCAAGCAGCTGGCCACCAAGGCTGCCCGCAAGAGCGCGCCGGCCACGGGCGGCGTGAAGAAGCCGCACCGCTACCGGCCCGGCACCGTGGCGCTGCGTGAGATCCGGCGCTACCAGAAGTCCACCGAGCTGCTGATCCGCAAGCTGCCGTTCCAGCGCCTGGTGCGCGAGATCGCGCAGGACTTCAAGACCGACCTGCGCTTCCAGAGTTCGGCCGTCATGGCGCTGCAGGAGGCGAGCGAGGCCTACCTGGTGGGTCTGTTCGAGGACACCAACCTGTGCGCCATCCACGCCAAGCGCGTCACCATCATGCCCAAGGACATCCAGCTGGCCCGCCGCATCCGCGGGGAGCGGGCCTGAGCTCCCGGCCCCCGGTTCCGTCCCACCAAAGGCTCTTTTCAGAGCCACCACGTGCTCCCGGGAGAGCTGTTCGCCTGTCTCTTGGCGTCCTTACCCTTTTAGGGGAGACGTCCCTTTCGTGCCGTCGCCGGGCAACGATGGCCGCTGTTTGGCCTTTTGGCTTGTTTTAAGGAAAGCTTGCAAAAGTTTTGGTTTTCTATTCTAACCTCATTAACAATTTCAGTCTGCTCGAGCAGCCTTAAAATTTGTGCAACTTTTGAACTGGTACATTTTTGTAGATGTTGCTGTTTTGTTTCCAGAAGGGTGTTGAACTACTGTCCTTCTATGCATTTCAGGTCACTGCGAAGATGACCGCAAGTGGCCTACACTGGTTGCGGTACCCAGCACCTGAGTGCAGGCCTTCCTGAGCATTTCCGTCATGATCAGACGCTATGTAACTTCCCACCTCACGTATACCCCTTCAGCCAGCCTGGGGGCTGTGGTTCTGTGGACCCTTGGCTGTCCTGGAACTCGCTCCCTAGACCAGGCTGGCCTTCCTCTGACTCGGGTACTGAGATTTAAAGGCATGTGTCACCATCTCCCGTCTTTAAATCTTTGTTTTTATTTTAGAGTTGGCCTTTCTAAACTAGCTGAACTACAAGCAAAAGACCTGTCTTCCAGTTACCTCCTAATTGCTGCACTAAATTTCTAGACTGCTGAAGATAAATGGCTCCTTCCCCTGCCTCTGCTAGGCAATGTCTGGGGACTTAGTGTGCTCATGGTCGGTGGGTGGTAAGTGGACTACTATCAAAAATATGCAGTGATACTCACCTCTCTTCTTTAAACACTTAATGAATTATCCTTTGTTAGCCTTTTGGAATTAATTATATTAACTATGACCTGGCCTTAGGCTTGTGTGACAATTGGTTACTTTCTCTCCTTATTTCCATTCAATTAACTTTAAATTGCCTATCCATCTGTATTATACATACAAATGCACAGATGCACACACATATGAATATATATATTTATGCATGATATATTGCAAACCCTTCTGTACAGAAATGGACTCCGGACGTCAAGGAGGATCTGCTATTCCTTGGCCTGAGGAACAAAACTAAGCTTTGTCGAAATATTTGAAATATTTGAAGTCAACCCAAGTCTCTGAGTCCGTGATACTGGTGGTCAGTGACCCAGGGACACAACATGCTCTCTCACCTCTGCCACCTGGGAGCCCCCAGAGCTCTGAGGAGGATTTGGGATTTGCTCTGCACCAAGTAAATGTGAGAAACAAAGACATCCTGTTAACTGGTGTCTGAGTCAGAGTCTCAGGAAACCTACATTACATCCTGTTCCCAATCCTCTTCATCACTGACACGTGAGTCACTGAGGAGTGGAGAAACTGAGGCAGAAATGCTTTTTAAAAATATTTCCCTTTTGAAAGGAGTGGACAAGGGGAAACTGAGGGTTGGGAGTATGGTGCTCCTCCTAGTTTTCAGCCCCCACTGGAGTTTTCTGTGAACTGAATTACGCCCCTGGACCCCCCCCCCCCAATTCATTTGTTGCAGCCCTACCTACCCCGGGTACCTCAGTGTGGAACTAGAACCTTTAAATCAGCTGTGCCTATTACAAAATGGTGTTTGTATGTGAGTATTAGAACACACAGGGAGGCAGGAATGCAGTGAGAAGGCAGCCGACGCAAGCCGGGGAGAAAGGCCCAATACCATGCTGATTTTGTATGTCCAGTCTTCAGAATCGTGAGAAACTCCCTTCTGGTTAAACTTTCCAGTATGTGACACTTTGTTGGAGTGGCCTGCTATGGTTTGAGATGTTTTCCCTAGAGCTTTCTGGGTTCACAATTGTGTCATTCAAAACCTCCAGCGTGGCTCAGTTGGGGGGTGGGGGAATCTGAAACAGGTAGAGTCTACTGCAACATCATTAGAACATGAGTGCGTCATCCTCAGAATTAATTGATGCATGCCCTCAGGAAATCATTCTAGCAAAAGCTGGTTATAAAAGTGAGACCATCCTATCCGATTGGCCTTTCTGCATGTTGAGAGGACCCCTTCTGTTTCTCCATGGTATTGTAATGCAGACAAGTACCATGATGTTTGGGCCATTTAGTTACCAGAATTGCAAGCCAAATGTACATCTTTATAAAGAACTTAGCCCTGGGTGTTTTGTTACATACAGCAACAGAAAATAAACCAACAGGATTGCAGCCAACTTACTTAGCTCACTTAGTTTCTTCTGTCCAGGGCCTCATTTGCTGTTCAGAGTCACAGTGGCTGATCGGGTCCTTCCGACCTGTTCTGACACAAGCAGAAAGTTTAGCAATGGTTTACAGCAGTGTGGAGACAGCCCATTTGTACTTCACTGAACTTTGCTTCAAAGGTTGAGCCCCAGAGTTCTCAGATCATAAATGACTTTCTAGTACATCAAGCCACTAGTGGCTAACAGACCCATAGCATGCAGATTTACACCATGAATTGAAACTAAGGCAGATGTAACAGCAAGATGCCAACCAATTTAGATACCAAAGATAGCCAAAATTGCCCCACCCACACCAGAAATCTGAATGGCCAAAGCCTGCATGTGTCATGTTCTAAGGCACTCAGGAGTCCCAGCTTAGTAGGAATAGCTATGGCTTCATTCTCTTCTATGACTTGTAAGTACTGGCTTGCCAAACTCAGACTACAGGAAGTAGGGGGAAATGGAAAAAGGATGGGGGATGGAGAGGTTTACAGGGCAATGTAGGACCTGGCCTCTCTTGGCTGGTGTGGGACAGTGGAAGTCCTCTCTTATTTAATTTTTTCCTGCTTTCCTATCAAAGGCGGGCCTTTGAGGCCAGTAACGTGCCTGCCCCACAGTCTCTCTTCCAAGGCTGCTATCCAACAGCTGTGGACTTTGACCATGAATGACTTAAGTCACATTCTCTGCTCAGATGCCCTAAACCTGGTCTTTCACTGGGGAAGAAATGAGTGTGTGGTTACTTTCTGAGGAAATAACAGGTTATTTGACCTAATACCTCTCACCCAGCCTGGAACCAGGCTTCCCCAGGACATAGCAGCCACCTTAGGGACACACACACACACACACACACACACACACACACACACACACACACACCACCCCCAACCCTCAAAACTTCCCACAACTGGGGAAACAGAATTTGGCTCTTACTGTAGTTGGGAAGACCAAGAGGAATTCTCCAGAGCCTTTGAGGCTTCCACAACTGTCACAGGCAATGTAATGACAGCACTGACCCTTGACATTCCTGCTACTGTCCTCCACTCTTAACACTGTCTTTGATATACCACCTTAGGCCCATTTAAACATTTGGGTTTTAAATCTTTTTGGTTTGAGAAACCAAGACAAAGTAGGACCTGGAGAGTAGCTCAGCAATGTTCTCCCAGAAGACCCAAGAGAAGGATCCCATACAGAAACCTCCATCTTCACCCAAGTTGAGTTCCTAGCACCTAACACCTCATTGGGAAGCTCACAGCCACCTGTAACTCCAGCTCCAGGGATTCAATGCTTCTGGACACCCACACATATGGCATATTGTTACACACACACACACACATACACACACACACACACATACACACACACAAATAAAAAGTAACAGTGCAGGGCTGCTCCACTTTGAGATCAGACAGTACAAAAACAAACAAACAAACAAAAAAATTCTCATAACAGAGCTGGCCAGATGGCTCAGGAAATAGTCACTTGCTAACAAGCCTGAATTCAATCCCCAGAAGCAGAAAATCAACTCCTGACAGTTGTCATCTGACCTGGGTCATGGTGTTCTCCCTCCC